GGTGATTTTTTGTAATCTTTGGAAGAATTATGATCTCATAAGTTATCCTAACACATTATGCTTTATTACCTTTTAAAACTTCATTTAAAATGTGTGTAATCTTAACTTGCAATAGTAAATTAAGCTGTCTGTTTTAATTTTTTACTGAACTGTCTTTTTTAAAACATATTTTATCACAGTTAACTTCTTGACAAGTACATGTCTTGATTAAATTATAAATGAAAGTTGTGCACATAAGAGGAAAGGACAGAAAGGTTTTTCAAAGGTGTGCAGGATATTTAAGACTCTACCTGAGAAGCATATCCCATGAACCACAACATTAGTGATCTGATCAGCAAAAGGATGACCCAGTGAGAAAACAGAGACCTCTTGTTATAGAAGTGAAAGGCAGGAGGTTGGCTCTGTGTCATGGAATGCCACAGCCAGCCAGCCTCCAGGGATGATCATGGGAGTCAACACACGTTGGGTGCCAATTGAAGGCAGGGATTAAATGAGTCCCCCAGACCCCAGATAAATAATAAATAAATAGGGAATCACTTACACAGATAAGAAAGAGTAAATAACTGCCACAGTCTTATTCCTGCTCTCGAAGATATAGTCTCTGCCCTTCCGATGCTTTTTGCAACCTAAGAGAGTATGAACCAGCCCTTTCTCTATCTTATAATGGGTCACGTATGCACCTAAAACCATGCCCAAAGGGTGTGGCCACCACCACAAGATCACTGGCAAGGCAAGATGCCACTACACAGAAGATCTCCCAGTGAGGAAGGAACAGAGTAGACAATCAGACTTGAGCTACTTTTAGCCTTGGTCAGAGAAACTTCTTGCAGAGGGCAACAGTTAATACAGAGACTACTGGTCTCTGTGTGGTCAAAGTGCAGTGAATAACTGTTGGGTGCCTAGTTGTAAATAGAACATCTGTATCATCCTTCTCCACAGCCCAGGGAAGAGTGTAGAAGAGGGATGTGGAGAATGTAATAAAGAGCCAGAGAATGTGGAGGAATGCCATCAAAGTCTGTCTTCTAGCAACATGCCTATTGCACTCCTGAACTCACAGTAGCTGTGGCTACCCACACTAGAACTGCATGAGGTGGGACCTGTCAGCATTCCATTATGGATCAGGGAAGGACTCGAGAAATGCAGCCAATCCTTAAGAGTCTTCTGGCAGTTAATGGTTGCTGGGGAAGTCGTTTTCTTCAGTGGTGTAATTTGTAATTTGTTCGTGCTCCAGTAAATATCCCATCCCATCCATGCTCATACATCCATATTCATGCAAGCAACTTTATTTAAACTCAGCAGGTCACGAAACACGAAAACACCAACAAATCAAAGTAACTACTACAAAGACAGGAAAGTAGGAGACTAGGTGGGGAGAAAAGGGGGTTCAAGAATGAGATCTGTATGACAGGGTATAATGAGGGATAAAAATGCCCGAAATATATTATCCACATGTGTGAAAGTGTCAAGGATAAAATCTGAGAAGAATGTATCTTATGAAGCTGGCAGTGAGCACAGGTAACTATTTAAATCACAGAAAGGATTAAATGAAACCACAAGGCTGAATCCTTGGTTGTTAAAAATGATTATCAACGAATGCCATTATGTTAGAGTTCCTTCATCCTTTTTGCTCAATTAAATGTCTTTATAAATTTTATTTATTCTCTGGTACTGAATTGTAGTTGTTTAAAAATATTTTGTTTCACAATTGCTTTTCATATTCTCAAATAAATTGAGCATAATTACTACTGCAGTTGTATTATGCATGTAATTACTGTAATTTTATTCTTGTATGTGTATTTATTCTTTGAGAAATGGTTGCCACAGAATGTGGTGTGGTGGTTAATATTAAGACATGAAAAATGAAGTTGCACTTACCCAATTAAGATATGATTTTAGAAACCCATGTAAAAGGCAGTTCCTCCTACTCAACCATTTTGTTCTTTGCAGTTTTAGCTAATCCTTGTAATTATGAGGTTAGATATTGAAGAGATTAGGGATATTTGTAGTGTTTTTTCCTTCATTTTTCCCTTACCTGGAAATATTTGAGCAATGTCAAGTAAAAGCTACATATTTCAACCCTTTGCCATGCTATTTCCATTTCATACATAACTATAACAGATCTTTTCTTAGCATAAATAGTAAGTACTTATATTAGGTAACATATTCTGAGTTAGACCATTTAAGACCACATTATTTTGTGAATTTTCCAAGATACATGTGAATTAATGGTTGTGGGGGTATGCATGTTTGTGACATATTATAGAGGGTCTTCTGAATTATCTCAATTCCGGCAAAGCCTCTTCTTATGTAGATGCAAAGTGAAAATACTGTACTTTGAATGCCAGACTCAAGAAGAATAAGAGACTTTTCATGTTAGCTACTCATGCATAATAGTATGGCTACAGACCTGTGTTCCTTGATGGAAAGTGGTAATGGGAGGGCAAGATAGATATGGTTAGGGTACTACTTGTTTTTGTCCTTTTCTTTCGGGTAGCTCATTTGGAGAAGTTGCTCCTAAGATCTTTCTTAGATTGGGCTTCAGTTTCCTTGAGAAGTTTTCCACTGAACAATGTTCTTAGGAACATTCATAACAAAATTTAAAAGAAGTGGTGTTTACTTTCCATCAGTTTATTTCTTCTCCTGCAAGGGTGAGCATTCAGGTGCATTTAACTTTGAGCGGAGTCTGTATAAAGAATCCACATCTATGTTGAAGTTGTTGAAGACCAATGAACTGACTTAATGTGATTATGAGGAGATGGAATGTTACACCGGAAAGCCAAAATTATCTTGGGACCATCTTTAGCTCTGTTTAACAGCCATTTAGCCATCCCTGGGATTTTTCTGAGTCGCTACAGTCTTAGAACTATTCAGTGAATATACTTGCAAGGGCCTATATTACTCACTTTCATTGCTAAATAATGCAGAGTTCAGGGACTAGTTTGCTCTTCAAAGCAACCAGGTCTAGTTACAAAACTACCATAATATGGCCCTAGTAAGCACCCATTCCAATGAGGCAATGTACTAATTAAAATGATTAATTGCAACTACACATAGCTTTCCAATTTAGGAACTAATTTCCATGTGATGTGTATCCTTGCCCATACTAATATTTAACTTTACAAAGCACAACTAGCAACCTCTTATTTATCCTCTTCTGCCACTTACCATATATTTAGTGTTGGAATCAAAGAATGCTAGTTTTATATAACTTACATCAAATTTGATATATTTAGTTAAATTTATTGTTATTCTAGTAGGGAAAATTTTCTTTTCCATAAGTTTCTTTCTCTTAAAAATATCCTCTATTCAATAAAATATTTCAATAAGCTATTTTACATACCCAAACTAAGCCTTGAAAACATTGCTACTAAGTAATTCCCTTTGTCTTAATAATGGAGGTAAAGCATTACATTAGGAGTGTGTCTCTGCATGTGGCATACATGTTGCACATGTGTAGGCTAGAGTAAACTTTCAGCATCTTCTGTTGCTCTCCACACTATTCCAGGAGACAGGGTCTAGCTTTTGGCCTGGGTGCTGGGGATTGGAACTCAAGTCCTCATGATTACACAAAGAACACTTTTATCTATGGAACCACAGTTCTTGTCTTAGGTTTCAATACCTTTCTAAGTAGAAAACTCTACCCAACCATGTAGTTTATTTTAGACTGTCATTAGGTCATCTTTGAGTTAAATAATGAAAATTTACTATGAGAAAATTCTGGACTTTTCTGACTCTGGAAATCCTTAGGCATCTTATATTAACAGTGTATACTTTTTCAGATTTTATCCTTAATTATAAAAATCTGCTTAATATCCAGGAAGTGGAATCAGTCTAAATTCCAATCAATAGATGGATGCATAGCTAAACTATGTCAGTCTAGCAGTTGGATTTTATGCTGTTGTAAAGGGAAAAAAATGAAAGCTTGACATTTTCCAGAAAGGTAATATAACTTGAAATCATATTAAGTGAGATTATTAACTCAGAAAGACAAATACTATGTGCTTTCTCTCATATGTAGAAACTAAATATAAGCAGGTGTGTGTGTGTGTGTGTGTGTATGTGTGTGTGTGTTGATAAGAAACTGGAAATAAGATCATGAGAGGAGAGGAATGAGATTTTGAGGGAGGTAGGAAATAGGATAATAGAATGCATGTATAGGAAAGCAGAAAGGCTGATGAACTGGTAGAAGGAAGGGAGGCAATCGGCTGGGGAGGAGAAGAGACCTATGTGTGGGTAGTGGGGAATAGGAATGAAAGAACAGTGAGTAGCCACATGTATCTGTGACCATGCCACAATGAATCCCATTACTTTGTTTTGTAACATAAACATAACTTTAAAAACTCATCAGTTTACACGAGTGGATTCTCTGCTATATACGATTTCCCTGAGAACAGCAATCTTTTTAGTCTTGTTCACACACAAAACAGTAACTGGTATTATGTAATCAGCAACAAGTAAACATAGTGATATGAATGTTATTGTGTTTATTCCAACTGTTGCACAAGACATTCAATCTGACTCACGGATGACAAGTTTCCTTATTTTAATGTATGTATGTGTGCATGTATGTATGTATGTAGGTATGTATATATGTACTGATAAACTTAATTATATAAAAAATTTGAGAAAGACCACAATGCTCTCAAGTCTTTACTGGTCAGCTTTGGCATACACTCTTACTAAACCCTTAGCATCCTTTGGAGAAAGGTTCTGCGCAAACAGGCAATTTAACAGAAGGTAAGTTAGCTGGGGCATCCTAGCATAGAGTTGGGTAAATTTCAATGGGATTCCCAATCAAGGAAATCAAATTATATTTAAGCTTAAAATGGCCTAACCAGGCATACAAGATGGAGGAATCTCTGCATTGTCTTGTCTTGTCACATTCTCCACTGGTTCTATGGGCATGAATCAAATTGTTGACTCATCCTATTCTGGCAGGGGAGGCATAGTTGGCCCTAAGGACCAGTAATTTGACTGAGTTTATTCTCTGTTTGATGTAGTTGGCCATGCAGTTGAGGATGAAGTGTTCAACCATTAGCCCAAATCAGGATAGGAATCAGCAGTTAGCCTAATCTTGACAGTGTGGTGGTCAGCTATGGGGACTTGGTAAGTAGAGACTGATGCAATTTATCTGATATATGTCTCCTTTCTTCTTTTTGGGTTTTTTCTCTGAAAATGACAAGTTCTCCCTAATTAATCTTGACTGGTTGGCATAGAACCAGATAGTTTCTCCTAAGGTCATGCAAAGTACTTCCTGTCTCATAAAAAGGAGGTCGACCCTTCCTTAGTTCTGTAGGACTACCTCTGCTAGGGAGTCAATTTGGCTCTATGGGCTAGAAATAGAAGTCTTCAAATGCCCCAGGTCTCAATCTATATGGGAACTGAGTTCCTTATAATTCTTGTTCCCAAAAATCAAGGCTGAGGTGCCTGTCACAATTCCACTGGCTATTCCTGTTCCTACTAAGATCAGGACTAGAACTGTGCACATTTGACCTTCAATACCATTGGTTCAAGGTCAATGTGAATTCTCTCTTCTTCTCCACTATAGACATATATCTGGGGGGATAACATAGACCAGTATACATAGAGTAGGGGTGTGACTTTCCAGTGAGTCAGAAGACGTACATTTAGTCAAGCTGTTAGTATAAGCAAGCCATGCAATTTGAGGACATGAGGTAAGTAACTTGTCCTTGGCAGAATGGCTCACCTGGTAGGGAATGCATAAGAATCATAATCCATGTGGGACTTTTCTAGCTGGTTTTCTCCATAACCTGATTTTCCTACTCTTACCCCCTAGACACATATTGTTCCACTCCTGGAAGATAAATAAGAGAGCAGAGGTCTGATCCCAGCTTACAACTCCAGCAGAAGCCCCCACTCCACCTGAGACCATGCCAGCCACCAGAACCCCGATTATGTCCCCACATTTGAAAAGAAAACACTACTAAAGCTTAAATCACACAATAAGACAACTTAAGGAAAATAAGGGTATACAAATTGGAAAGCAAGAAGGCAACTTTTTGCTATTTACAGATATTATGATAGTATACATATGTGATTCCAAAAATTCTATCAGGAAACACCTACAACTGATAAACATCTTTAGTGAAGTGGCTGGATACAAGATAAACCAGAAAAAAAACCAGTAAGCCTTCTATACACAAATTACAACTATACTGAGAAAGAAATCAGAGAAGCAGCACCTTTTACAGTAGTCACAAATAATGTAAAATATCTTGGGGTAACTCTCACCTAGCAAGTAAAAAACTTGTTTGGCAAAAGTTTTAAGAAAGAAATAGGAGAAGATATAAGGAAATAGGAAAGAAATAGGAGAAAGATCTATTCTCATGGATAGGCAGGGTTACACAACAAAAATGACAATCTTACTGCAGTAATCTATAGATTCAATAAAATTCCCATAAAAATTCCAACACAATTCTCTATAGACTTTGAAACAATAATTCTCAACTTCATATGGAGAAACAAAAACCCAGGATAGCTAAAACAATCCTGTATAATAAAAGAACTTCCAGAGGTATCATCATCTCAGATTACAAGCTATACTACAGAGCTTGTCATAGTTTGAATGTAATTGACCCCATAATCTCATGAGGAGTGCCTCATTATGAGGTATGACTTTTCTGGAGTGGGTATGGCCTTGTTGTAGGAAGTAAGTCACTGGGGGGATGTTATTTGAGTTTTCCTATGCTCAGGATATTACCCAGTATGTTAGTTTACTTCCTGTTGCCTGCAAGATATAGGACTCTACATCTGCCTGCACATCACCATGCTTCACACCGTGATGACAATGGATTGAACCTCTGAAACTGTAAGTGAGCTACCCCAATTAAATGTTTTACTTTATAAGAATTGCTATGGTCATGGTGTCACTTCATATTACAGAAACCCTAATTAAGACAGAGCTATAGTATTAAAAATTGGATGGCATTTGTAAACAAAGAAACAAACAAACATCAATAACCAGACACAGTGATCACTGGAATTGAAGACTCAGATATAAATCTACACACCCATGGACACCTGATTTTTGATAAAGAAGCCAGACAGACACAATGTAAAAAAAAGAAAGCATGTTCAACAAATGGTGCTGGTCTAATTGGACTTCAGCATGCAGAAAAATGCAAATGGATCCGTATCTATCACTTTGCACAAAACTCAAGTACAAGTGGATCAGAGACCTCAACATAAAATCAGCACATTCAAACTGATAGAAGAGTGTCTTATGTTTTTTATTACTGTGAAATAACACCATGAACAACATAATTCTTATAAAGGAAAACATTTCATTGTGGCTGGCTTATAGTTAAGAGGTTTATTTAATTATTTTCATGGTGAGAAGGATAGTGGCATGGTAGACATTATGCTGGAGAGGTAGCTGAGTGTTCTACATCTGGATCCAGAGGCAGCACAAAGAGACATTGAGCCACTAGCCTGGCTTGAGCTTCTGAGACTTCAGGACCCACCTCCCAGTCATGTAGTTCCTTTAATAAAGGCACACCTAGTCCGACAAGGCCTCATCTCCTAATAGTGCCCCTACCTGTAGGCCCATGGCCATTTTCTTTTAAATTATCACAAAGTGAAAGTAAGAAATAGCTTTGAGTACATTGTCACAGGAGACAACTTCTTAAATCGAACATCAATAGTGCAAACACTAAGATTAACAATTAAGAAATAAGAGCTCATGAAACTGAAAAGATTCTGTAAGGCAGAGGCACTGTTAATACTACAAAATGGCAGCCTATAGAATGGGAAAAGATCTTCACAAGCTCCACATATGACAGAGGGATGATTTCCAAATTACATAAAGAACTCAAGAAACTAGACATCAACAAACCAAATAATCCAATTTAATAATGGAGTACAGATAACAGAATTCTCAGCAGAGAAATCTCAAGTAACTGAGAAACACTTGAGGCCTGTTCAACATCCTTATTCATCAAGGAAATGCAAATCAAATAAACTCTAAGATTCAATTTTATACCTGTTAGAATGGTTAAGATACAAAACACAAGTGTCAGCTCATGCGGAGAAGATGTGGAGCAAGGGAATCACTCCTCCATTGCCTGTGAGAATGCACACTTGTACAGCCACTTTGGAAATAATGCTGCAGTTCCCCAGAAAACTGGAAGTTGATCTACCTCAAGACCCAGCTGTATCACTCTTGGGCACATACCCAAAAGTTACTCTATCCTTCCACAGCTCCTTTATTCATAATAGCCAGAAACTGGAGACAACCTAGATGTCCCTCAACTGGAGAATGGATAAAGAAAATGTGGTACATTTACACAATGGAGGATTACTCAGCTGTTAGAAAAAAATGACATCATGATATTTGCAGGCAAATGGATGGAACTAGAAAAAAATCATTCTGAATGAGGCGGCCCAGACCTAAAGTGACAAACATGCTATGTACTCACTTAGAAGTGGAACTTAGCTTGAAGTAAGTGATAATTATGATCCAATCCATGGACTCAAAAAGGCTAAGTCACAAGGAGGGCTCTAGGAGGGACTCACAGATTTTCCTGGGAAGAGGAAATAAAATAATTGTTTTGAATGGGATTGGGTGCATGTGGGGATTGGAATAGGAGGACCTGGTGGTTGAGAGGGAGAGACTTTGGGAAGAATTGTCTAGAATTTGGGGACCAACCTGGTGCAGTAGAAACTTCCCGGAACATATTAGGATGATTCTAGAAAGGGCTCACAGCAATGGAGGATACAGGGCCTGAATTGGCCATCTTCTGTAACCAGGCAAACCTTCCAGTGTTGTGCCCTGGATACCAACCTAGCCACAAAGCCTTAGACATACACCTTGTTCTGTCCACAAAATGTGCTGGGGAAGTGGTTACTCAGGGCTTGTGGGAGTGATCGACGAATGACTGGTCTAACTTGAGCATACCTTGAGAGGGAGACCATGTCTGACACTGCCTGGATGACCAGTAATGGTAAGTTGGATGGATCAGAAACCTAGGGTAGAACCAAATACAAATCACATAGAAAAAAAGTCAATGAAATGATTCCTAATGATATTTTGCTTTACTCGTAGATTGGAGTCTAGCTCAACCATCATCAGAAAGCCTTCTTCATCTAGTGGATGGGAGCAGAGACCACAGCCAAACATTGGGTAGAGCTTGGGGAACCCCATGGAAGATGAAGAGAAAGGATGGTAGGAGGCAGAGGGGTAGAGTATACCACAAGAACAGGGCCCACGGAATCAACTAATTAGGGCTCTTAGGGGCCCACAGAGACTTCAGTGGCAATCATGGAACCTGCATGTATCTGCACTAGGCTGTTGGCAAATATGTTGTGATTGTTTAGCTTGGGATTTTTTGACTCCTAAAAATGGGAGTGGAGGTATCTCTGACTCTTTTGCCTGCTCTTGGGACCCTTTCCTTCCTACTGGGTTGTCTCATGCAGCCTTAATATGAGGATTTGTGCCTAGTTTTTTTTTTTTATGAGACAGGGTTTCTCTGTATTGTTTTGGAGGCTATCGGTCCAGCCTGGCCTCGAACTCACAGAGATCCGCCTGCCTCTGCCTCCCGAGTGCTGGGATTAAAGGCGTGCGCCACCACCGCCCGGCTTGTGCCTAGTTTTATTGCATCTTGTTATACCTTGTTCTGTTGATGTTCCTGGGATATCTGGCCCTTTCTGAAGGGAAGCAGAGGAGGAGTGGATCTGAAGAAGAGAGTAAGAGGGGAGATTTGGAGGCATTTATGGAGGGGGATATGCAGCCTGGATGGATTGTATGAGAGAAGAATAAATAAAAAGAAAAATTGAAAAAATAAAACCAAATAAGATCATTGGACCAAATAGTTTTAAGTTTTATCTTTTTACAGGAGAAAAATCTGTCAATAAAAAGCTGTTGAAGGAGAATTGGATATTGTGTTAAATACTACCTACCTTTTAAAGGATTAAATAGAAGCAAAAAGAGGCTTTATTATCCTTATTGAAAAGGCAGGAAATTTCTCTTCAATCTTCTCTGTTTGCAGTTCAGGCTAGTCCTGAATTGGCTATGTAGCTAAAAAAATAGCCTTGGAATTTGCTGCCTGCTTCTACCATCCCCAGCGCTGAGATTTTAGGCCTATACCCCCCCCATTCAGTTTATTCTGTGCTAGGGTCTTATCTAATTGCTTTCCCTGGGCATGCCAGGCAAACACTCTACCAACTGAGCCACAGATATAATCCATCCCCACTGTGTGTGTGTGTGTGTGTGTGTGTGTGTGTGTGTGTGTGTGCGCGCATGCAGCGTGCGAGCGCTGAAGAGAATTTACTTTAAAAACCTGAAACTTCTTTCTTCCCTGAAATGTATAGATAGCTTCCTGGAGACTCGGTAAGATTTTGGTCATCTTTTGACTCCTTTATTTGTGAAGAACTGGGGAGCCATCTCTTTATTACCTAATCGTCTGCAGATACATCTCATTTCACATTCTCTGCAGGAGTGCAGGAGTTTAACCTTTCTCGAAGCCATGGATGCAGGAGCTGTAAGAAGTTGGTTTCTTCTCTGGATAAAGTCAGTGGTGATATTGACTGAAAGAAAGAAAGTACAGCAGGATACACTAACCAGGTGTTGAGCAGGTTTTCTATCAAATCTGCCAGCCAGCACTGAGGGTAAAAAGAGAATATAGACGCCCCCAGAGCAGTAGTTACAGAAGTGAACTTTATAGGGGATAGAATAGTAGAAAGATGAGAGGTTAGCTAGTTAGGCCCTGATTGGTGTAGATGGAACACTATCAAATAAGAGAAAGGGGGTAAGCTTCTAGCTGTGAAGTTGAGAATGTAGAAGACAGTGGGTTTTGTTTTTTTCTGGTGGAGTATGCTTATCCAAAGTATTGAAACACATCACCTTCTTGTAATCAACTTGGTGATGAAGGAGGACTGAGACAAAACAGAGTCACTATCACAAACAATAGGACTAGAAATGATTGGTGATGGCTGGCAAGTCAGCTTATTCAGGACAAGTTATTGCTTAAGGAGTTGTGCCTACTTGAATATACAAAAGCCTGGG